TTACTTTAATTGGATGGAGCACATTTATCAAACAGGGAAGACTTCAGAATTAGGGTGTCCCACCATGCCTGTAGGACATGGAAATGGGAAATACCCGATGGTATTTCAGTTGTCTATTTGATCATTTGACGTTCTCTTCATGTGTCAGTAGTGACGTGGCCCAGAAGCTGACTTGATGTTTCCTGTTGGGGTTTTCCATTTTCCTAAAGAATATTTTAAGAAGTGAGACAAGTTACTCCCTCCCTCTCAGTTCCTCTCTCTGTAAACGTAGCCTGCTTTTCCCTCCCTCAGACCTATTATGAGTGAGCTGCATGACTGGCCTTTAGTTTGATATTTAGCTCATAAACCATAAGAGAACGTATTTGTTGGGTAATTTAGAGTAATGCATTTAGCAAACCATTTTACCTGCCCATGGTATTCTCTGTATGATGTGTGTGTGTGTGTGTGTGTGTGTGTGTGTGTACTCGAACTAGGACAGTGTGTATGTATTTCCTGTACTTAAAATTCCAGAGAAATTTGGGCTTTAGCTGTGTGTCCTGTCCTACAGTCTTGATAATCTCTACTGGTAACAACAAAAAAGAGATAATTTGACGTTTGACAGTGGATGAGTCCTATGTCCTCATGCTTGAGTATAGTCTCATGACTGATATGGCAAAAGCTCAATTAAGGTGTTTCAAAACATAGGGTTTTCTGGTGTCTGCAGCACTAAGCAGTAAACCCCTTATATCCACACGGATGCCACTATTGGTTTCAATCCTCATTGGTGAAGACCCCCTCTAGCTTATTAGTACCTTTCCTTGTTGAAAGGTACAAAGAGTAAAATCCTTTAAGAGAATCTGTGCCTTATTTAGAATCTTGGGGTCATGGATATCAGTTTGTGTCATACAGGGCTCTAGGGATAGAAGATAAAAGATAATGGGCCTCAATCTATATTACACATGGGTCATTAAGGAATCCAGTGACTTGGATTTCCTCTGGTTAATTGAGGTTTTCCTTTTCTTGAGCTAAAATGTGGCAATGGCTTCCAGGTTTAAAGGGGGCATAATCTCCGTGCCAGTCATGGGCAGAGGCAAGCCCCTCTTCCGAATGCTCATTGCCATCGTGGTTGTGTGGGGACTTTGGGCTCATTCTGTAACATTCTTAAATTCTGCCTAATGGTCTCTAATTAATTTGCCAATAAAACTCTTACAGCGGATTCATTGAAGGCAAGTTCAGTTAAAGACTCTCCTTCTTCCTTCTTTTGCCATCATTTGCTCCTCCCTTCCCCTCTCTTGTTTTTCTCTCCCCTTCTCTTCTCTCATTCACTGTCAGGAAAGACTACCTTTGAAGGGACAATTCTGTACCGAGCTGCACCGGGAAAGACGGAGGGCCACAGACGCTATTACAGTGAGTGACCTAAATGGCAGGAGGCAATTGTAAAGTTAACATCCGAGTACTTGTGGTTTTTGACACGGCCGCCGCACTTTCCTGAGCTGCTCATGCTTCTGCCAAGTGTGTGTGTGAATTTCTGATCCAAGGACATGGACTTATTTGCCTGAATAAGTGCTGTCTCCTTGGTGTGTGCTACAGGAGCATTCTCATCACCAGCCCTGGCGCTTTCTTGTTTGCTTTATGCCTCTGCCATGTGTGTAACATGCGTGCATGAGCCATGTGTGCAGAGAAGGGACCAGTAGCATTTGTCATGGCATACGTATTTGTACCAGTATCTCTGGGCCTCTGCGGTGGTGTGAGATGGCTTTCCATGGAAATGTCAACCTCTCGTGGTTACTGCTTTTCCCGAGTGGCTCATTAGAAACCAATAAACCATTTCTTCATTGTGTTGTTCAAAGAAATAAGAATTTGGCATGAAAGTCCATGCCAGAAATGGCGTTCTGCTTTGCTCATTCAGCCAATCACTGCACGACAGACTTCTTTTGGCAGGACCAACGGATAGCCTTTTGTGTTGTGAAATAAAGCTGCCAAAAGTTGAGGGGAAGGACACGAATGAGATTAATGAATGAATTTCGTGAAGCTCTTAGAACAGTTCCTGCCGCTGAATAGCACTATACACGTGAGTTTTAAATTTAAAATAAACAAAAATGGCTCACAGACCTGAATTGATCCATGCTGGAATATTACGGTAAATTACACAAAAGTGTAATTTATTATGTCATTTGGCCAGCCATATAACAGAAAATTTGAGGCTCTGTTCTTTTTTTTTACCTTGAGGGAAAAGCTTCCACCCTGGTGTACATGTACACATATGCACATACATATCTACATATAGAGAAGTGGCGAAAGATAAGGTTCAAATGTGAACGCCGGAACCGTGCTTCTCAGACTGTCTGTGGTGAAGTTTAGTTTTATTTCTCTCCCCCCACGGACGGATACCTGGTCTTGCTGTACACAACGTTACTACGCATGCAGTGTGCCATCTGCACCTCACCACAGGCAACTGACAGATCGGGACTGGTCTGTTCCCTGGTCACCTAGACAAGTCCACTGGCCACACATCTGAAGTCATTCCAGTACACACTGCTATAAGTGTTTCCAAATATGCACACTTCCTGTGCAAAGCTTGCTATGTACCAGTAACAAGCCCTTCATGAACTGGCCCTAGCCCACAGACCACACTCTGTGCTGTCCTACCTGTCAGTGTCACCTGGCATTCTGAGCATGACACGGGGACATTTTCAGGATGGTGTGTATGATGGGCACCAGTAGCTAAAAGATGCAGCACCAAACCAACATGAAAACGTCACCTTTGATTCCCTCCAAAGGGAAGGAATTATATTTTGAGTTCTTTCACCAACCCAGATACTCAGCTATATAATTTACATTCTTAAAAGTGATAGAAGCAGGCTGCCAGAATGTCTGGAAGAAAAATCTGCCATGTGTTTTCTTCCCAGTCCATGCTTATGTGGTTGAGTGACTGTGCCCCCTCTCTCTGTGTAATGTGAAGAGCATTTCTCACAGTGATTAATACAAAGTCATTAAGATGAACCTGGAAGGCAGCAAATCCCTGAAACTAGAAGCTCAGTGAAATCAGAATGGCAGTGGTTGAAAATATTATGGTTCTAACTAATGAGGAATGATAGAAGACTCCTTCAAATTCCTCTCTTTGAAGAACTAAAACAGCCTTGCCCTAATCCATTTGCCCTGCTGCCTTCTGCTGCTGGTGGTGGTGGTGGTGATGATGGTGGTGGTGGTGGTGGTGATGGGGAGGGCAGGACGGTAATGGTTTCTTCCCACTAACTCTTTCTTTATTCCACCCTCAAATGGTTCTTTCCAACCCAGAAAAGAGTATACAAGCCATTTATCACATAGAAAGAATCCATACGGCAAAATGAGAACATGTTAAAGGGGAAATGACACAATATTTAGACTCCAAAATTATATCTCCAGCAGGGATAGTTCCAAAAACAATGAACAAATAAACACACGAATGGATAGCTAATCCAGAGGGGTTCTCCATGTTTTGCACACTCAAATCCAGGCCTATAAATTACAGCCGACCCCATTGCTGTAGGCTGCTCCTCATTGCTCTGCCCTCCATTCTTGCTCACAAATGCTGTTCTTTAGCTAATTAAAATGTACACCAGGGATCTTCCTCCTCTCCCCTTCTTTTTTGGCTTATAAATACCATTTTATTGAAAACAGCAGCAGCAACAAACACAGCCATTGTTTTAATGTTAAGGATTTGATTTTGAAACTCGTTAGCAATTTATAATGACCTTTCTATATTTTATCTGTTTTCATTTAACAGTTTCTTCCTGCACTGAGACTACTTTATTTGAATGACTTCGACATTTTATAACATTTTATGTGAGCAATTATTTGGTGTATTATTCTTACGTACTAGGAGGCCACCTTCCCTGTAGAAAGATAACGTACAATTGGCTAATACAGAACAAAATTTGATGTACTTTCATCGAGAGCATCGTTGTCATAAGGGGATATACAGTAAACGTTCAGGAGCTATTCTACACATCTAGAGGCTTTAGAGGCAGACTGAATGGCAAACTAGTATTCCATAAGATATCATTTGAATCCGGCCCTTTGATGGGATGACTGATATACTGAGTTTCAAAGTAAGAGTGTACACCTAGAAATTAACTAGAAACAAATAGGCTCTTCCTTTTAGGAACATGATTGTGGGCAGAGCCTGGGGAAAAAAGAATCTGGGAGGTAAGTGTTCATGCTGTCTTGCTGACAACTATTTGGTGACTTCCAACACACACCACAAGAGGTCAAAGGAAGGATGTCATGTTCCCAGTGTTCTTCTTTGGAAAGGGATTCAGCCTTGGGGAAATGATGGCATTGAGGGAGGGAAGAAGAACGGTGGGCTCGGGGAATTCTGGCCTCTGGGAAGGCAGCTTCCTTCCTTTCTTTAACAGACACAGTCATCTTTGCCAGTGAAGGCGTCTCAATGTCAAGTTTGGTTTAATGCTTTCCTAGAGAAACATGTCTGCGTGCATTTATTCCTTGTGAAGCCATCCAAAGAGATTTAATTCTTTGGCAGTCATAATTTTGTGTGGTTTCTTTAATTGCTAATTTGTTTAAATGGCTTTTAGCTTTACAGTTTCCCTTTAGGAAATGTTACTTTCATTGCTAATTGCTAATTGCCATGAGTCATAGAGATTGGAGGTACAGTATGTGGTCCTGATGGGGTGGGGAGGTGAGGACAGAGTGGGAAGGGTTGTCATCGCACAGACTGTGGCAAAACAAATTTGTATTAGAATCAGGCTCTGGCTGAAGAGAGGTGAGATGTCACATAAGAGATCTGCTTTGAAATTAGATTTTTTGGGGGAAGAATTTCAATTCACTTCTGAAAATCAAAGGCTGGGGGTGGGGAGATTGAACAAAACTCAGAGACCCCTGAACGCAACATATTCGACACATGAAATGAAAAGTCCTGTGCCCAGTAACACTTGTAGAGGTGGTTCCTGGCTGGCTGTGAGGTGCTTCACGGCTGTGGCTGATTTCTGAGCTCTTTCTCTCCCCGTCCCCACTCTTGACAGGTTTAAGGGAAACCACAGGCTCCGAGAGTGATGGGGGTGACTCGAGCAGTACCAAATCCGAAGGTGCCAACGGGACAGTCGCAACTGCAGCAATCCAGCCGAAGAAAGTTAAGGGAGTGGGCTTCGGAGATATATTCAAAGACAAACCAATAAAACTAAGACCAAGGTCGATTGAAGTAGAGAATGACTTTCTACCAGTGGAGAAGGTATGTTCGACAGTTTCTGTTTTATTTCAACACCATGTGGAGTACCCAAAAGTCCATCATCGTAGGGCATCTGAGACTTCTTGTGCCTCTTTTGGGGTGTCGGTATCCTCACATGCTAGCTGTTTGCCCTCTCCCCTTTGGGGCTCTCCCTCTGTTTCTGGAAAGGCTCATGCTCCAGTTTACATCTTCTTTTCTTACGGATCTCTCTATGGAATGCATCTCAGTATGGCTTTTCAAATGGACCTGTACCATCCCCCCTCCCACCCCAAAAAGCCCCTCTTGCCTGGACCCAGCTAAACACATGACCTTGACACCTTTGAGCACAGACTGATCCATCTCTTCTCCTTGTCCATTTCTCTAGTGCTTTGTGCCTGGGTGCATCGATTGGTCCTACAATAGACAAAAGGGGTTATGTATTTTTTTCACTGGCAGTTAGGTGGGAGTGATTTCAGACTGCTGAAAGGAAGTCTCCCATGTGTATATATGATGGAGATGGGCCGTGCTGTGACTCCCTGGGTTTTTCCCATCAGGAAGCTGGTTGTTTGCCTCTTGCAACCCAGAATCAGAGAGGTAGAAGAAAACAACAGTGTGTTGCTGCTGAGCACGCGGTTGCTACAGCAACACACCCAGAGCCATCGAGCTTGTGGCTGTCAGTGACGTCTAGTGTGGTGTGGTACACTTCTGAGCACCATGGCTTTGCTTAGGATTTGATAAATACTGTGGAATTTTCCAAATTGTAATAAGCTACACTCGTGCTGTGCTTAAGGAATGTTTGATAATTCGATTTAGCGCTGAAACTTTTGCTTTGATGTTTGTGCCAGTAGGCTTGGGGGATGGGGCATTGGCAGCATCTCTAATGCAGGTTTATCAGTGGCTTTTAAATGTTTTTCATTTTTTGGGTGAGATGAGTTTTTCAAAGTTGCATCATCATTCACTGCTGTACAACTTCCACCCGCCTCTTTCCCCCAGCCCCCAGCAACCTTGCCTGGTGTCATACATTAGAAACAGAATCTGGAAAGGAAACTTTGGGACACTTAATACTCTTAGAGATGAAAAAGGCAGAAAGGGCAGAGACTTAGACATGAAACACTGTTCATTTACATTCTTCTTTCGCTGCAGCTTATCTGAGCCAGCTTTATTTCTTTCAGTAAGTAATATATGATATTTCTCAAGATCTAAGAATTGTCTAGCTGGTATCCCAGCTTGCCAACTCATTTCTCCTTCACATGATCACCTTCAGATTCCTATAAATATTTACGAACAAGCAAGTCCCCATTTTGGGAGGAAACAATGGGTATAGTTTTTCTTCATTTTACTCAACTGGTTGAAATGAACGTGACCATTGACTCAGCAAACAGTTAATTTTTTTGGTTTGTTTTATGATTCTTGGTCTTATTCTTTTCTGTGTAGGACAGTGTGTGTGTGTGTGTGTGTGTGTGTGTGTGTGTGTGACTTTTGTTGCTATGAATATTTGTTTTAACCACAATAGTAAATTGGGTTATTATCAGTAGCCGTTTTGGCGTCACATGTAATACTCCAGAGTTTATGCCTCAGCACACTTCTCTGAACCCCGGGGCCATATCCTGGACTGCCAACTTGCACATCTCCACTTGAAGGTCTTAAATTCTTACTAGCTTTTCCAACCCTGAACTCATCGTCTTCATCACCTAAAACTGCTCTGCCCATACCATTCCCCATCTCAATGAAGGCCGCGGCTCTCCCCCTCATCCAGATCAGGACTAAAGTCTTGGGTCTGTTCCTGACTTCTTTTCTCACAGCCTGTGTCTGATCCCTCAGGTGACTCCATCAGCTTTGCCTCTGTGAATGTCTGTAACCCACCAAAGCTCATCACCTTCATAGTTCCCCTGCTCTCTTGTCATCACTCAGTAATCTCCTTATAGGGCTTCCTGCTTCTCCCCTTCCCCTGCAGTCTAGTCTCAACAGGGAAGCCAGGGCAATCTCTTGAAACCCTAAGTCAGATCATGCCACTCCCCTGCTCGCATCCCCAGAGAACCAAAGTGAAAGGCCTCCCCCAGGGCCACAGGCTGCAGTGACTGGCGTCCATTACCTCTCAGACTTCTCCCCTTGCTTACTTCCTCCTGGCCCCTTACTTTTCCTTCAACATGCCAAGCACCCTCCCACTTGGAGACCTGTTTCACAGTAGTTTCCTCTGGCTACACACGTTGTTTCTCCCGACCCACTTGGCTGCTTGCCTCTCCCCCCATTACTCTGCTCAGACTTCACCTTTTCAGTGAGCCCTGCCCTGGCCCACTCATTCTAAAACCTACCCTCCTGGCCTACCCTGCCCACTTGTGCTGCATGTTTTGTTTTCCATAGCATGCAACTTTTTCTAACATAATATTTATTTCTTTATTGTGTTTATTATTTATTTTACTCACTTATATATGCTATGTGCTTAGAACACTGTGTGGCACATAGTAGGTTAGGTGCTCCGTAAGTACAAGATGTATGAATACTATTTAAACTGTGTTAATATAGCATTCCAGAGATCGCAGACTTCTATAACATGAGGGAACTGGGTGGGATAATATAACAGTTACATAGTTGGAAAATATAGTGGTTGTATGGTTCACTGCGTTATTGTGAAGCAGAGATTTATTGTATTAGTCTTAGTGATATGACATGTTAACATCATCAGAGTAATATATATGTGTGTATGCGTGTGTGTGCATCTTTATTCATGATTTGTTTGCAGAAGGAAACCATGTGCTGCCGGCAGTCTTAACCTGCTTCTCATTGTGAAGTCTCTGGGGAAAACGTAAACTTCCCAGCTTGCTTTACTAGCTGTGGACAGATTTTTTATAGCGTATAAGAGGACTCAAAACTATCTCCACCCTCTGTTGTTGGTGCTATGGATAGTTGCAGAGATTTATGGATCCATTATATTACTACACAACCAGTCATGAGAGCTGATAAGTGCGATAATGTTTTACTAGTGTACAACCTGGTTCTCGTCACTTTTGAGATGGATTTCTGTCCAGGATTTATGTTTGCGGAATGAAGTTTCCTTCAAGAATTGAGTGTGCCGTTTTGATTTTGCAGAAACATGAATTGGATCCTATGTGACAGCATTTGGTAGATAAGACCCAAGCAGGTCTTCCACTTATGCTGGGTAGTTGGCCTTCTGAGATGACTGGTTTGATAACTTGGATAAAGAAAAAAAGGAATCTGGTGATTTTTAACAACTGCAAGCATATTATATTTTCCATTCAAGTTGAGAAGTTTTGAGATTCACTTTTCTCCATTGCTGTGCTTGTTTTCTGTATGCTCTAATCCATATCACCCTAACCAGAGTGAGTGAACGCTGATAATTATACCAGGACATAACACCCCCCCACCCCCAACAATAGGGAAATAGTGAGTAGTCTTGCTTCTTAGTTTACTGAACTATAAGGAAGGACCCTGTTTATGAGTCCTTTTATCACTGTGGATGATTTGTTTAGCGCATTGTTTAACTGAAATGTTTACAGATGAAATCATTTGTTGTCTGGGATTTTGGTTCGTAATTCAGAAGATGGAAGAGTGAGTAGGGCATAAAGGAAATAAGATTGGTCATGAGTGTATAATAGTTGAAACTGGATGGTGCATACATGGGGGATGAGTACTATATATATATAGTAAATTTCCCTTGCTAAAAGGTTAAAGAAAAAAAGAAGAACCTTGGGAAAAAATATAACATTCAAATTAAACCTAGAAGTAATATGTGTTATATTAAAATAATGGAAAATATAGTGTGTCTACATATGAACCAAGTTAAGTTTCATAAGATTAGAAGGGCATGGTACCATTGTTCTAGCAGATTGACCCTGACAAAATCACTTAATCTCAACTAAGCCATATGTAAAATGGGAATACTCTATATACCTATCCTACCTCTTAGGACTTAAAAAATGTTATATAGAGCTCCGTATTACTGGAGGAAAGTGCCCCGGATCCCTTCAGGTACTGGCCTGCTCAGCAAGCGCTCCTGTCGGTCTGCAGGACTCTTGGTCTTTTGGGCGCGACACAAATCGAGTGAGGGAAGGAGGCAGGAAAATCCCCTGGATCCCTGCAGGATTATTCAAAAGAAATACCAGAAAAATATTCAACATGCAAAAGTCTTGTGAAGAAAATGAAGGAAAACCACAGAACATGCCAAAGACCGAGGCAGACCGCCCTTCAGAAGATGTACCACAGGAGGGAGAAGGAAATCCTCAACTTTCTGAAGAAGGTGTAAGCCAGGAAGCAGAAGGAAATCTTAGAGGAGGGCTGATTCAACCTGGCCCAGGGTTTAAAGAGGACACTCCTGTGAGGCATTTGGACCCTGAAGAAATGATAAGAGGAGTAGATGAGTTGGAAAGGCTTAGGGAAGAGATAAGAAGAGTAAGAAACAAGTTTGTGATGATGCATTGGAAGCAAAGACATTCACGTAGCCGTCCTTATCCTGTGTGCTTTAGGCCTTGAATTCTTTTTTGTCTGATATTAAAATCTGGCCCTTGCTTTCTTTCTGTTAGTGTTTTCTGATGTATCTCTGACCTTTGTTTTACCTTTAATCATCTGGTGGAATTTTGTTTTAGGTAGCTTCCTTGTTACCAGCATCTCACTGGATTTTGTATTTTGACCCATTCCGGAGGTCTGTTTTTCAATTGGAAAGTTTCACATATTTGCATGAAAATATATTCATTCTATATTGTAAAGTAAAACAGAACAGGTTACAGAGCAGTATATTTAGTACCAGTTCACATGTAGGATTAAATCCCAGATTTGTGTGCGTGTGTGTGTATATATACATACATATATCAAAAATTTGCTTATTTCTGTGTGGCGTGAGCTTTTTTCTTTTTGCTTATATGTATTTTTTTCATGAACACATGTCACACACACACACAAAAAATTTTATAAGAGTTAAATAATTTGCAACCAGCTTATAAGGGCAATGGGGGCACCTAAACTCTTGATGGAAGAACTATTAAAAAAAATGTAAACATCAAGTTACCTCTGGATCTCTTAGCCAGAGGAATAAAACTGGCAGTTACTACAGATAAAAAAAAAATGTTATATAACAGAAAATACTTTGAAATTATAAATGTAACTCATTTCAACTAGTATTTATTGAGTACTCACTATATTTTCAGCACTGGGGACATAGTGGTAAACAAGACCAGGTCACTGCCCTCGGGGAGCTGCTGAAAAGTAAACAAGCAATAATAATATAGTGCGGAGAATGCCATAGGTTGAGATCAGGTTGATAATACAGTGCTGAGCTGTGTTCTTGGGCATGGCAGGAAGTGATGAGTTGTGAGGCAGTCTGGAGAAGTAATGTTTAGACTTCCTGTAGGAAGTAATGTTTTTAGGCCTATAGGAAGTGATGTTTAGGTTGAGAACCATGGCGTCCAATAGACATTCATCAAGCCAAGGAGCATAGAGTTATCAAGGTGAGAAGAACAATATGTATTAATGCCTTGAAGGGAAATTAAAATAGCACAGAGTTACTTCACTCAGCATAATACCCTCCAGTTCCATCCACGTTGAAGCAAATGGTGGGTATTTGTCGTTTCTAATGGCTGAGTAATATTCCATTGTATACATAGACCACAGCTTCTTTATCCATTATGAGAAGGACAAACAGTGTATGTTCTCATTCATTTGGGGAATATGAATAATAGTGAAAGGGAATATAAGGGAAGGGAGAAGAAATGTGTGGGAAATGTCAGAAAGGGAGACAGAACATAAAGACTTCTAACTCTGGGAAATGAACTAGGGGTGGTGGAGGGGAGGAGGGCGGGGGGTGGGGGTGAATGGGTGACGGGCACTGAGGGGGGGCACTTGACGGGATGAGCACTGGGTGTTATTCTGTATGTTGGTAAATTGAACACCAATAAAAATTAATTTATTAAAAATAATAATAAATAAATAAATAAATAAATAAATAAATAAATAAATAAATAAATAAAATAGCACAGAGTATGTGTTGGAGGCTTCAGCAGGAAGTGGGGAAAGATGAGAGCAGAGAAGGAGCAGAGCCCAGATCAGGAAGGGCCTGGTGACTTGTTAGGAAGTCTGAACTTGATCTTAAAGACAGTGAGGAGCTATCAATGGGCAGCTGTTTTCAGCAAGAGTGATAAGATCAGGTAGGTGGTTTAGAGAAAGTATTCCAATTTACAATGGGAGGAATGGATTACAGAAGACAGGGTGACTGAAATTGAGGAGGGAGGTTAACAGAAACTTATGTTGGCTCTCCTAATAAGCTCTCCTCCAGCCCCTGAAACCTAGGTTCTAAACCAGTTAATGAATAAGGTGAATCAGTGGATGGAGAATCAAAATAATATTTTTGCTCCTTTTTTCAGTATGGATATCCATTTCACCCAGCACTGTTTATTGAAAAGGTCATCCTTTCTGCATTGCACAGCCATTATCACCTTTGTCATAATTTAAGTGGCTGTGTATGTGTTAGTCTGTTTCTGGACTCTCTATTCTGTTGGTCTGTATTTTTCCTTGCACTTATTCTTTTTTTTTATAAAAAAGATTTTACTTATTTATTCATGAGAGACAGAGAGAGAGAGAGAGAGAGAGGCAGAGACCAGGCAGAGGGAGAAGCAGGCTCCCTGTGGAGAACCCGATGTGGGACTCGATCCCGGGACTCCAGGATCATACCCTGGGTCAAAGGCAGGCGCTAAACCACTGAGCCACCCAGGGATTCCCTCTTGCACTTATTCTATGCTACCTCATTTACTGTAGCTTTATAGTCAGTCTTGATATATAGCAATTGAAGTTCTCACTCTTTGTTCCTCCTCAAGATTTCTTGGGCTATTTTTTTAAAGATTTTATTTATTTATTCATGAGAGACACAGAAAGAGAGAGAGAGAAAGAGAGAGAGAGAGAGAGAGAGAGATGGGCAGAGACACAGGCAGAGGGAGAAGCAGGCTCCATGCAGGGAGCCCGATGTGGGACTCGATCCCGGGACTCCAGGATCACGCCCTGAGCTGAAGGCAGGTGCTTAACTGCTGAGCCACCAGGCGTCCCTCCTGGGCTATTCTTGACCCCTTGTATGTTCATATAAATTTTATATCATCCCCACCACCACCACCAAAAACCAAACAAACAAAAAAACCCAAAAAAACCCTCTTGGGATTTTCACTGAAATTGCATTGACTCTATAGATACTTTTGGAGAGAATTGATACCTTTCCAATCCATGGACATGTTATGTTTCTCTATTTGTGTAGATCTTATTTCGTTTTGTGAAAATTCCTCAAAGCTGTACACTTAAGATTTGTGCACCTTCCCCTGCCTATGTTATATAGCAATGTTGTTATCAGTGAAGGCAAAGTTGAAGGATATAGATGAGTGTGAGAGCCAAATGGGCCTGCTAGCTGATCCCCAGAATTAGACAGACCCCACCCACCCAGTCTCAGCAATATTGAACTAAAGCAGACCCATGTGAGATAGAAGGGCCTGTGCCTTGGGGAACAGTAGAGGACAACTTCAAAGAGGAAGAAAGAGTTGAGCTGAACACGCCTAGTTTATTTTTCTGAAATTTACCTGTCAGAGAAGTCATTTCATTCTCCCAGGGAAGGTGAGTAAGGGGGCAGAGAGTTCCAGGAGTGTCCATTTGTGTCCACAAAGTGTCTATTTGGGCTCCCTTTTACATGGCAGGAAATATCAGAAGATAAATAGTTTTTCTAACAAACAGCTTTGAAGTGTTGTCATGGATGGTTTAGGGAAATATTTTGAAGGGAGAATGAAGAAATTTGATAGTATGTGGAAGATAAAGGAGAGGGAGGACTTGAAGATAATGACTTGGGCCACTGGCTTAAGCAGCTGGGTGGTAGTATCATTTCCTTGGTTAGAGACCAGTGAAGAAGAAAGATATTTGAGGAGGAGAGAGGTCATGGATTCAGTCTTAGATCAGCTGGGTTTTTTTTCTTCCAGCTGGGATTTTTAGGTAATTGTGGGACCATCAAGGGGAGGCATCCAGCAGGCTGTTGGGTAAATAAGTCTGGTGATTGAGAGAGAACTGTAGATTTAGGTTTGGGAGACATCAGCATAGATATTGGGTTGGAAGATTATAAGCAAGAAGGCAACCCAGACAGGACCTTGTTCTCACAAATATGGCTTGATACCTCCTTGCCTCCACCTGTGGACCCATGAGGAAATTTTCCTCATCAGGCTGCATCCCTGTAACCCCAGCCTAGCCCTTTTCATAAACTCCTTCCCTTTTAATGAGTCACTCAGATGGTCACTCCGGCCAAACACTTAGGGAAAAGGATGGCAGGTGTTACACATGAGTGGGTAAATTACAGCTACTCAGGAGAATCCCCAGGACCTAACCTGACATTCCTTTATGTAGAATAATCTGGACATTTTGGCACCAGCTCATTCCATGCCCAGACTCTTTATACTGGTTGTTTCCTGGATTCCCTACAAAGAAATTCTCCAAGAAGCTCCTTTCTCATGGTCTTTCTCTCTTAACCAATTGCCATTTGTGACTTCTGATATATCTCGCTTGCAATGATTCTGTTTTCTTTCTACATTTGCTACTGTATCTCACAACCTGACATTTTGTTTGTGACAGTCTCTTTTCAACTCTAATCATCTTGGATCTCATTTGTCACCTAAATTAATGCCTTTATAATATCAACATTGTAGCTTTTACTTGTAACAGAAAGTGAGATTTAAAGTCGTATATAAATGAGCTACTAATCATTTTTTTAATCAGCCAAATTGCAGTAAGAGAAATTTTACTATTTTTGTATATAGGCAATCTTTTTATCCATTTAGTAAAAATTCATCAAGCTGTATACTTAAGTAAAATTAAAACATGTAAACATCTAAAGTGATTATCTTAGTTCCTTAAAAATGAGAGATTTATGTCTATAATCCTTTGAAGACTAGAAATAAGCCCTGGGGATCTTCAGGAGCTAAAGACACCTTCTTTGACTAAAGAAACACAATTTGGTCAAAACCTCGTTGTGGTTACCCAGGACCTATAGTGTTGGATGTCCCTCATTTTGGTTAAAAGGTAAGATTATGTGACATCTCTTGAGCGGTTGGAAAATCCATGGTTTTTAATAAGTGAATGGTATTAAGATGCCTACTGGTTGCCTGGGTGAATGGTTTGGGATTTTTAGACTTTGTTTTCTGTGTCATCTTTCCCCAAAGTGTCTCTGTTAAATTTTCTTAACTAGGAGAAGTAAGGACAGGGGTATTGGTAGGAAAAGGGAACCAGAAACAGTATTAGGGGATTACTCTTTGACATGTTAGATGTTGCTTACTGTTCTACATATGCTTGACATATACTTTCTAAAACACTCAGCATAGTAGTATTTTCTAGGAAATGTTTAATTGCAGCCAGATCATCACCAAGGATTGCATTCCCAGAAGGCCTTAAATGTGTGTTTTTAGGAGTATAGTGGTTATTAAGCATGCAGGCCAGATTGCCTGGGTTCACATCCCACCTCTGATTCTTCCTAGGATAGACTACTTAAGCACTCATTGCTTTAGA